AATATTTATATTAATATTTTATCTTTACACAGTAAAGCTTTTAAGAGGATAAATTACAGCCTTTATTTCACTATATAAGAGATAGTTCATGTGTTCACTTAATGTTTTTCATTTCACAGTGACCTTCATATTTTTTTTCCTCACAAATGTGTTAGCCTGTATTAAAATGATGAATAACCTGATGAAAATGTAAGGTTAATGGGCTTTGCTTAAAAAGGCAAATAGGGAACTGAAGAATCTTGTTAAATTTTATAAATACATATAAAGAATTTAATTTAGAACAAAGCAGGTCTGTTCTTTGGTCATTTCCCTTGGCAGGTTTTATTTCTCACACTCCAAGCTGTTATTCCTCTTTCTTTAATAGAAAGTAATTCAGCTAACCCTAAATTTTTATTGGTCTGGTATATGATATCTTTATAAATGAGAAAGAGTAAAACATGAAGGATTAAAAAGAAGCTCAGAGATCAGTTAACATCATCAATTATAGGATAGAAACCTGAACTTTTTCTGGTTCAAACAAATGAAACTAGCCTTCATATCTAGCTGAAGGTCTGTCTCTGTATTTTTGTTCATAGCACTGGGAAGATTATTCCATTCAGTGTATTAAAACACTGAGTTTTTGAACATAGATTCCTACTAGAGGAAAAAAATCAAATTGAAAATGCAGAAGTTACGTACTCAACTACCAGAAATCTAAAAGCATTGTTGACAGAACTCCATTCTGCTTCTTCTGCACAAGCTGTATGGAATAAGAGTTAGACATTTTTGTAGCATCTTCTTCAGTCCTTATATGCCTGTGCAAACTATTTTTGCATTTTAGGGACAGAAGCAGGTTCAACACAACAGCAAGAAGTATAACTTCGATTCATAGAGCAATTAACCCACCAGTGATTTACCATATTATCTACCATATTTACCATATCCAATACCATGCTGCAAATATGTAACTGCAAGGATTCAGCCCATGAGACAATGATGTATAAAATCTGTACTTTGTACTTCATGGAGAAGAACTATAAATGCAGAGATGGAGAATTTTATTAATGACACATCACTATCCTTCATCTGCTTATTTATGGTGACTGAAAAACACCATACCACATTTGAGGAAAAGAATCTGGTATTACCCATTAAGGTAACTACAGTATAAAATACAGAGAGTGTTATCCTTGCAGCATTTGACAAAGTGTAGTGGAAAAGGGAAGCTCAAATGAAATTACCCACCTTTTTTTGTCTTTTCAATTTAATGAAATTTGCAAGATTATAGATTGAGCTATTAGTTTCAATTTGTGCACTAACTTATGCACAGAAAAGAAATTTTTTAGACGGTTAAACAACCTTGTCAATTAGATGTTTAATGAATTCAGATAAACTGAGACACATCCCTAACTGGCATCTGTTGATAGAGAACTAGCTACATTTCATAAAGTTGCAATACTGATCTCTTCATCAGAATTACTTCAATTTGTTCTTTTAAGGCCAAACTGTGACTTGTGGCTCTGATATCATAGAATCATAGAATTTAGGGGTTGGAATGAACCTTACAGATCATCCACCCCAACCCTCTGCCCTGGGCAGGGACACCACCTCATTGGATCAGGTTGCTCAAGGCCTCATCCAGCCTGGTTTTGAACACCACCAGGGTCGGTGCAGCCACCACATCCCTGGGCAACCTGTGCCAGTGTCTCATCACCCTCACAGGAAAAAAACTTCTTTCCCACATCCAACCTAGGCTTCCTGTCCTTCAGTTTGAACCCATTACCCCTTGTCCTATCACTGCAGTCCTAGAGCAGAGTCCCTCTCTAGCTCCCTTTTAGGCTGTTCAGATATTGAAAAGTTGCTCTGAGGTCTCCACGCAGTCTTCTCCAGGCTGAACAGCCCCAGCTTCCTCAGCCTGTCCTCGTAGGGGAGATGTTCAAGTCCTCTTATCAACTTTGTGTCCTCCTCTGGACTTGCTCCAACAGTTCAATGTCCTTCTTATGTTGGGGGCACCAGAATTGTATGCAGTATTCTAGGTGGGTCTCACAGGAGCAGAGTAGAGGGGAAGAATCATGTCTTTTGACCTGCTAGCCACATTCCTTTGGATGCAGCCTAGGATTGAATTGACTTTTTGGGCTGAGCTCACACTTCACGTGAGCTTTTCATCCACTGTCACTCCCAAGTCTTTCTCCTCACTGCTGGTTTCAATTAATTCTCCACCTGTCGTCTGGAAGTTACAGTGGAAATCCCTGAGCAAAACGTCAACTTATGTTGTATGTTGCAACATGCTAAAACTTTTTTCAGTTCTTTGAAACCTGTTCTTATTACCTTTAACAATTTCTCTGACATTGCCTTGTGTACTTCCTGCAGATGTAAATGAATGTGAAGCTGAACCCTGCAAGAATGGTGGAATCTGTACAGATCTCATTGCCAACTATTCCTGTGAGTGCCCAGGCGAATTTATGGGAAGAAACTGCCAACAGAGTAAGTATGGCATGGTTTTAAAACTTTTTAAGACTTTTTCAATAAAATACAGTATTATGCATTTACAGGAAAAAAACAAACCCACCGGTAATATACTGTGGAAATATTTCTCTCCACTGCAAATAAGGAATACTTAAAATAGCCACCTTATTCTTTTCAAAATGCCAGAAATCTAAAAGACCAAATCTGTCATGCATTCTAGTAAAGTATCTGATGTGTTGGAAACATTTGCAAAATGAAAAATCTAAAACAAAAAGGATTAAATAGGATAAAGTAGAAAAAATGTGAAGGCTGGTTTGAGCTAAGGGTTCATCTGACAAAATATCCTGTCTTCCAAAGTAACAACTAGTTGACGACAAGTGTAAAAGCTGGGCAAAAATACGTGTTACTTCCTCTGGCATGTGTCTAGCTTCTGAAATTTGGACCAATGGTCTATGGAGAAGTAATTTATGGTGTTCCTCCAGGATCTGTCCTGATTTTACAGTAACATTGACTATGAATGCACTCTAAATGTCTGATTCCTAAGTTTTTTACTACAAAGAAGTGCTCCATGTATGATAGATTAGATGATCTTAAAGACCAAAAATTGACTAAACTGCTATTGTACAAAATACAATATACTTAAAAGAGCTGATAACAGATTTTAGAGGCTATTTGGTTTGAAATACTGCAAAGAAGATACCCTGTGTGTTTTAGTTACACAAAATAGGATAATGCGATGGTTTTGTGGAAGAAGATAATACAGTTCCAAGGTATGTCAGGCCTGGAACCTAAAAGAGAAACAGGAAAGTATTTGACAATTAGCATTAGTAGTGTTAGATATTCCATTCAAAATCACTGAAATACTGGACTCATCAGCATTCAAGAAAGGTAATTTCTAGTTCAAGGAAGATCCTCCTATGTGTATGAAAAAAACAAAAAAAATGTTGCAAGTTGAATACTAAATAAATGAAACCATAATAAAGCTGATGAATTGCACATTATAATTAATTTCTTCACAGAAAAGGTGCTTAGACACTGGAATGTGCTGCCCAGGGAAGTGGTAGAGTCACCATCCCTGGAAGTCTTCAAGAAATGACTGGACATGGCACTTAGCACTCTTCCCTAGTTGACAAGGTGGTGGTGGGTCAAAGGTTGGACTCAACGATCTCAGAGATCTTTTCCAATGTAATTGATTCTGTGTAATATAATTCATTTTCTTGTGTTCACATTGTGGATATATAGGGGAGAATGGAGACAAAACCAGGATGGACCAATAACCACCATGTGAGCTTTTTGAAGTAGCTTCAGTGAATTCCCAGATTTATATACCACAGGGGAAAAAAAAGATTTGAGGCATCCAACATAATGTGTTTATAGTTATAGGGATAAATAACAGATTAGGATTTCCTTTGAGGAACTTACAGGTCTCTACAATTACCTGAAAGAATTTGTAACAAACAAACATCTATCAGAATTTCCTTTAAAAATTGGTGGTGAAATTCTTCCTGCATTTTCTTATGAGGTGCAATTGAATTGCCACTTGGAATTCTACCAGGAATGTCATCCATCTCCTCAGAGTTTATTCCTTCAGTATTTTGCCTGCATTATGAATATTGCTTAGATATAAGATCACATAAACTAAATCTCCTGTTTAGCTAGAAATGGGGTAGTCAGATCTACTACCTGAAGTGATCATTGCATTTTCTGGACCATCATCTCTTATTTTGTATTTCTTTTGCCTTTTTATAGCAATATATGTAATTATATGGGAATATGATTTTGTGTGTGAAGCTGCATATTTTATATATTATACTGATTTGGGTTTTACGTGTGTATATATATATACACACACACACATATTTATATTTTGGAGAGTATATAGCAGAAAGTATATGTATCTATATATGTATGTAAAATAAATTGCAATTTACTGAAACAGTGAAAGAATTCTGCTACTGATTTGCAAAATATGTTTCCTAGAGTCAATCTTTCTGGGTCAAACTTCAGAGCATTTATACTGGTATAAATATGTTTATTTATACAGTGAAATGATCTTTCTGGTCATGCTTCTGTAGATTAAAGCTGGCAACTGTGACCTAGGACTCCATTGTCTAGCACATGCAAGAACCTGTTTGTACTGATTGTAAACATTGAACCCCTGCTCAAAAAAGTCAACACATTCATAGAATCATAGAATTAACTGGGTTGGAAAAGACCTCCAACATCATCAAGTCCAATCCTACCATGTTTACTAGACCATGGCACTAAGTGCCACATCCAGTCTCATCTTGAAAACCTCCAGGGACAGTGAACCCACCACTTCCCTGGACAGCCCAGTCCAATGCCTTATCACTCTCTCCATCAAAAAATCTCTCCCTAGTATCTAACCTAAACCTCCCCTGGCAGAGCTTGAGTTCTCCTGCTCTGAGCACAGGATTCAAGGTGTGGTCTCACTTCCCTGGTTCTTCTAGTGCTATAGCACAGTTCACAAAGTTCTAGTTAATTCATGAACTTTAGAGCTATCTTTAGTGTAACTAGCCTTAAAGTGGAAACTTGTGGATTTATGCCACCACTATATTGAGCACTACACCATTTTCTATATATGGGCTTGTAAATATCCTTTTTTTTATCCCATTACATGTTTCGTTATGTCATTGTACTTAATTATGTAATTACAAGAAGTTATTACACATTCTAATTACACCATTAGAGTTTTACACATATTTACAGTAATCACATCATTAAATACTGTTATGCTAACTATGTAAATTACTGACTGCTGTCTCAGAATTACCTCACAAAGCTCAAAGATTGCTAAGCCACATCACAGAATGTTTAAAATATTGTAGACGTAGAATAAAAAAGGCAAAAATGTGTCATGCAAGCTGCTTCTCCAGGATGCATTTTCTGAGAGTTTATCTAGTTTAGCATGGCCAAAATACCAGTGCTTTACAATAATGACTTGTCATGTTACTCATCAGCTTCAAGTATTTTATGTCAGACTGCTTTTCCAGTGCTCCTGCTGAGGTTTCATTCCTTTTTTTCTAAATCCATTATTTTATTTCAGTGCAAGTAATGCCTCTTAGCTAATCTCCTACATATCTCACTTCCATTTTATCTTAGGTCTAGCACTTTCCAGGCGTGACACAACTGTTACGTTACACCCAGGTCCTGAAATCCTTGTGGGACACCCACGCAAAATCGTTCAGACTTGTTCCAAGAGCTGAAGCAAGAGGCAAAGACAAGGCTTTAATACAAAAAATAATAGTGAATTGAGTTTATAACTCTATTTGGACCGTCTTGACCATCTTCTGAGTCTCCTTCTGGCATGGATTAGGCTTGGGCTTGCTTAAATTCAGTCTTCTTTCTTTCTTTTTTTCCCTGTTAATTACAGCTATCTTCTGCCACTCAGACGTAAATGGTATTTAAACCAGCTGCTTCTTATTTCTGGAAAGCACAGGATGAGGCAAAATCAAAGTAAAGTGGAGTGTGAGAACACTGATAGGCTCAAAACATATTCAGTCATTCTAGAATAAGCTTATCAACCTGTTAAGAGATACTTCACCGAACATCTGGTATTTACAGAATTTCCCTGCAGATTTTTTGCAAACATAGAATGGGATGAGAGTACCTTTACCCATCCTCTGAATGCAAAATCTAAACTGTATTAATTCCATAATACATTCCAGATTTCTTAAGGCCTCAGCATTTCCTTGGTGCGGCTGTATCTCCTGTTCTTCCACCTCTAAACCAGTTTCTTGCCTCTGTGCTGAATTCAAGCTATCAGTTATGATTACCCCCTTTGCAGCCTTCCTTAATCTTCAAGTCCTCATAAATAACATACCTTCCAATACATGTTCTCCAGGGGTTGAAGATTTTACTTTGTGGATCACAAAATTCTCTTGCAGGCAACAGGGAGCCACTTTTATCAGTGTCAGGCAGTTTGCATTATTCAGTACAAATCTGTATTGTTAAAACCCCCATGAGCAGCATGGATAGTGAATCACAGTAATATGTGAACAGTTCCATAGGTAATTTTAGGTCATTAATCTCTTCTTTTTCCTTCTTTTAACCTAACAGATGGTGCTATACAATGGACACCTTACAATTTCACCACTGTGCATGTTGGAGCTGTGTTTTGCTAATTGCCAAGAGTTGCTGCCATTAAAGCATATGGCAAATTTATTTGTGTTTTTTTCTTTTGGGATATAGATCAGATTAGTCACTGTAAATATTTTTTACATATGCTATGGCTCCTTCACGTCCTTTTTTGTGTATTCAACATGCCCATATGTAGGAGAACTGCATCAAGAGCAAGTGTACCATTTTGTTTGTCTAGCATGTTGGAAATCCTGCTAAGCACTGTACCTCCACCTTGTTTTCATTTGTTTCCTCTGGTTTTATGTTTTAGTACACTGTTGTGTTTATATTGCACTTGGTTGTCTCCTGCCTTCCTCTCTGTGGAAATCAGAGTAATTTTCTTTATCTAAATGAAAATGCCCTTCTTTCAGTGTCATTTTTACTTAAAAATTACCTAAGGATCTGACAGATCTAGTCATAAAGAAACTTTCAAGACTTCTACTAACATGCTGCCTTATACTCACAGGCTAGATGGTGTCATCCAAAGCGTGTTAATGCATTCTGATTTTAGAATTTTCTTCCTTCAAAATTATTCCCAGGAATACACGACACCTGCACTTTGCATGATTTATACTGTGGGATAACTAACTGGTTTCACAGAAGAGACTATATTTCTTCTTTTGGTGTCTTTTGCATTTCACTTAGGTATTTTCAAGGCAGTGTGTTGGGTCTTTGTGGCTTCAGGTGCATCTCCTTTGAACTTCTCTGCCTGATGCTCACAGTCTTAGGTGAATTTTAGATATCTCTGTCTTATGGCTCCAGCTCTGACCAGCCCTGGCTCAGCAGGGTTCAGGGTTCATAAAGCCTCCATGCTTTGGTTCAGAGAAAACCTACTCAAAACAAACATAAAGGGCATAAATACTGCAGAGACATAAAAA